TAAACAATAAATAACAAACCAAATACAAGCTTAGTTTTTTAAATATCAATTGAATTGTTTGATTTTTTTTAACATGTTAAAAGGAAAAGTAATCATACAAATTGTGATACAATTTCATACATCTTACCAATCAAACACAGGGTAAATTCAACTTTACATGTAGCCTACAATGAGCTCTTATCAATTTGGCCTACTTTCATTAATTTCTCCATTGAAAAACTGGCTCAACTTACCCCAAGGCCCATGGTTCATTTTACCCCATAGCCACCATTTTAGAAAGAATTGCCTAGCATTACAATTCAGTCATCTTTAGCTTAATGATTCACATGGTTTAATACGATGTATGCCAACACATCAACATATACAATATATGTGTTTAAACCTGGATACTTTTGTTTTGACATGACAGCCGATATAGCTGACATCTAGAACATTTACTTTGACAAGCAAAACATTTTTTTTTGTAAAAATGTTTACTTACCAGACCACAATGAGTATCTCTCTTTCACAGGCAATGAGAAATGGGTGGAGCTTGCATAATTTCTGGTCACTTGATTACAACTGTAAGGCGTTGCCTGGTTACAGGGGGTGGTTCAACTTACCCCCTATGTGTCAGGTGCCTTTAAATATATCGTCATTACCCAATTCATCCTTGAATTAAATCTTTGGAGCCTACAGTCTGACAACTTCATTGTGGCCATACGGTTGTTCTCCTGCTGCAAATAATGTGTAGGTCTTACACCTCCCACTTCTCCTTTTAAATCATAAAACAAATCCCATTGACGTTTAAAAAAAAAAAACTTAAATAGAGGAAACAAGGTGTAAGCTGCAGAGAAAGTAGGCTAGTTAGTGGACCACTTTCAGGCAGAAGACACGTCATGATTAACTCAGTCTTATCTTTATAGACTTACCTCTCAAACTGGACTTGACTTCTGTCGGACTTTTGCATTCCTCACTTATTTCAACATGTCCACAGTAAGGCTGCTCTTATCGTGTCTGCTTTTTAAGGAGGTCATCTCATTGTCGGGTAAGAAACCTGGTTAAATTGTTGTAGAAAAATGTTTACTGGTAAACTCACGTAATCGTGGGGAAACGACTTAATGTGCGCAATTACGCATCGTTTGTATCCAGGAAACTTCTGGCACATCACGGATCTGCACTGGGACCCGACCTACGAACTGAGCGATGATCCTCAACTGGTTTGCCAATCAAGTGGCAAACGACCCGCAGCCAATGCTGGAAAGTTTGGAGACTATGCTTGTGACTCGCCATGGCTCCTTATAAACTCCTCTGTGTATGCCATGAAGGATATTCTACCAGATCCGGACTTCATCGTTTGGACAGGGTATGTATATGCTTGAGGTTGATAGTACAATATTTTAATTGCTTGGTGCTGTTTGGTTGGGTCCCAAGTTCATTTTAGAGAAATGCTATGTGGTTCATCGTGTTTATGTTTTATTTTTCATGATATTATATAGCCTAGCATTCACTAGTGACACAACCTGGATGAATTATACACTAAAATAATATTATTAGGTCTTAACTTTAACCAAAGCCTCCTTTACTTGTCGAATATAATCAACTCCTCCTTTAAGCATCTTATCCTTAAAAAGTATCTTTTGTTTTGCTGCACAGAGATGACACACCCCATGCAGATCTTGGAGAGGAAGTGGTGCTTCCCATTATCAGCAACCTCACCCACATCATAAGTCAAGTGTTTCCAAGTAAGTGGAACTTCAGGGACTCATTTATTCTGGGAGAAAAACCCAACATTAACTTGTATCATTTATGAACTGATATTATTGATGAATACTTTACACCCCTTCCTTCCTTAGACACTAAAGTGTACTCTGCCCTGGGCAACCATGACTTCCACCCTAAAAGCCAGCTTCCTGCAGGCCCAGATGACATCTATGACCAAACGGCAGAGATGTGGCAGGACTGGTTGGATCCAGCGTCCAGGGAAACTTTTAAAAAAGGTGGACAGAGCCTCTTGTAAATAATACATTGAGATTTGTTGTTTGGATATATAAACAGCTGCCTTCCTGATAAAATCACATTATGACACATGGCATTTTGCATTTAAAAGCACACGTCCAATTGTGTCATGCATGTTCTGCAAATCTTTTCTTCACATAGGTGGATATTACACCGAGAAGCTGCTCAATCGAACGGGTTTCAGGATGCTGGTACTAAACACAAACCTCTACTATGACCAGAACAAGAACACCAAGAACATGGTGGACCCAGCGGGACAGTTTACCTGGGCGGATCAGGTTCTTACAGAGGCCGCCAACAACAAAGAAAAGGCAAAGCATCTTTACTACCTTTGCATTGCAACAAGGGTTACATTTGATCTAAAGTCAAGTTTGAATTACAGACAAAGGCAAAAAACATTCAATAAGTAATAAAAACGTCATTCCTCTTTTAACATGGTTACCAAGGTAATTAGAAAGTATATTTTGTATTTCCCCTTTATGAATAATTATCTCACAGGAAATGGATCTACTTTTACAACAAGATACTCAAGCATTGCAAAAACGATGTATTGATCTTTAACTACTTGACATGAAATTAGACTATTTTTGCCAACTCTACATCGGTTTCTCTCCCAGGTGTACATCATTGGCCACGTCCCCCCAGGTTTCTTTGAGAAGAAGAGAAATAAGCCGTGGTTTGTGCCGGGATTCAACAAGCTGTACCTGGATTTAATTCAGAGGCATCATTCAGTCATAATGGGACAGTTTTTTGGCCATCATCACACCGATAGCTTCCGAATGTTCTACAACTCAATGGGTAAGGATGGACTGTGTTGCTCAGTCGTAAGTAAAAAAAAAATCATGCATGTTATTTTCACAAAGGTAAAAAAGAATAAGCATCATATTGTAATTAAAGTACTTGAAGTTTAACTTGTCACTCCTTTGTAAAAGGCATTTTCTATGTGATATACTGCTGGGCTGGGGAACTTAACCTATAATAATACAACATACTTTATCAGTTGATATGTTTTCTTCTTTTATTCATTTGAACTTGAAAATAAGTAGTAAGTGAGGTAAAATGAAGCTACAATATTAGCCTCCAAAATGGAGTGAGATAACATTCCACCCCTGATACTAATACTACTGCTTTTCTTCTTTGGTTTGTATTTAGGTTACGTAGTTTCGACTCTTTAATGCATTCAATGTGATGCACAGTGATTCTCACATCTCTTGTTGTGCTTATTATTGTGATAATCTGAGGTGATGGCCTTTCTGTTTCCACAGGCTCTCCCATCAGTACGATGTTCCTCAGCCCAGGTGTCACACCGTGGAAAACATCCCTCCCTGGAGTCCTGGACGGAGCCAACAACCCTGGGATCCGTGTCTTTGAATATGACACCCAAACCCTCCTTGTCAAAGTAAAGTCACAGCCAGTCTGCAAAACGTCCCTTTACATGTAGTAGCTGCAATATAAACCTTCTGCAGAAAAAAGCACATGTCTCTTATGACTGGTTTCTATTTCTTAAACAGGATGTGGTGACCTATTATCTGAACCTGACTCGTGCGAATGCAGGTGATGGGCGCTGGGAGGAGGAGTATCGTCTCACAAAGAGCTTCAGCCTGCCAGACGCCTCCCCGGCCTCCATGCACCAGGCTCTGGAGCGCATAGCCTCTGACCGCGGCTACCTTCAGAAGTACTATGAGTTCAACTCTGTCAACTACGACTTGACAGAGTGCAACAGCGACTGCCGCGTTGACCACGTGTGTGCAGCCAGGGAGGTAGACTTTGACAGGTATGAACGCTGCCTGGTAACAGAAGGGGCAGCTGCCATTTACAGCGGGTTGCTTCCTGTCCTCTCTGTGGCTGTAAGTGTGCTGCTCGCCAATTGGTAATGATATTTGACCTATCGCTCATGTTTTAAAATGTATTATTGAAGCTTCGAGGAGTCATTGAATGGACACACTGATTTGTAAGTTCAAGATAATTGAGGTAATGTAAATATTTAACATCACAGGAAATGTTTTTCTTGTTTTTAAAATCTATATTTCAGGTGAGTCACGCCTTAAATATACTTACCATGGAAAAACAACATTTGGCTTCAGCAATCTTTGGTTGACCTTGGTTTATTTGTTGTGGTTGCTTCCCTGTCAAACTATACTATATTTAATAAAACCAGAAAAAGGCCTAAACTGTTTCTTATTGGTTGAATGTTTTTTCGCAGCAAGAATCAATGCACCGTTAATATCAGTATTATCGCAAGAGTAAATATTTTAATGAATAACAATTGCACTTACTCATGCCCACATAACTCAGAAACAATTATACATTTACCATTTGATATGCTGTATTATCTTGGTTTCATAATGCTTGCTGTTATGCCACATAGCTTTATAATACCTGTTGGTAAAATGTCATGTGAAAGATGCTGGACTTTGAGCCTGTTGTAAGGACACATTTATTGACTATGTGCTTGAGCAGTGTATTTGATTCACACATTAACAATAATGTAGCAGTCTTCGGGTTACACTCTGGTCATGAGAGTGAAGTGATTAGTCAGTTGGTCTGTTCACATAATGAAGACCTGTTTAGCCGAGGTGAACGGCTGCATAGCTGCGTCCAGAGCTTTGTTGAAGTCTTGGAGGCTGACCTCAGTGCAGGCAGGAGCCGTCAGCTTCCCCTGCCGGATGAGCTGGCACAGTTCATCCAGCATGGCTCTGAAGGCCCTTCCATCTAAGGGGAAATGTCATATCATTCAATTCAGTCTTCAAGATTTATTTCACGAAAGAAGAAATGTAACGCCAACTCACCGCTCGAGTGATCTCCCTTCCACTGTGTGACCCAAAATCCCCGAATCTTCACATCCTTGAAAATAAGAGCGCTCTGCAGAGAACAAGTTAAGTTCAGTTTCTCTGTAAAATGTCATGTTAAACCTAGGAGGTCGTACAAGCTTTCATCTTACCACAGGAACAGTGACCGGCTTTTTGGCCATCCCTCCATACGTCACCATAGATCCTCCAAACCTGGAATCAATCAATCAATTCAGCTTTATTGTCCCCAAAGGGCAGATCAGGGGCCACATAAAGACAAGAAACGGGGATAAAAGTACTGTACGTTAGATAAAAAGTAAAACACTAATAACAAGACGTATACTGTAGACACAGCAGCAACTAAGACCAAAATAACAATTATTAGCAAACATTAATTTAGAAATGAGTCAGTGCTAGTGTGTAAAAAGTATCTTGGAAAATAGAACAAATGGATATTTTCTTTAGTGTGAGATATTTTATCATGCCAATAAAGGTGATCCTCACTGTAGATGACGGAGCAGCTCTGTTGCACTCTGGCCTCCGACTCCATTCAGCGCCAGTTTAGGCTTTGGGCAGGTCTTTTTAAAACAAAAACGAAACTCATTATTATATGATAAGCAACAGTGTTTGTCAACAAATAGCCAAGATGTCTTCAGACCCACAGACCTTGAACAGTTCCCTCATCTCAGGCCGCCTCATCGCTTCTTCTTTGATCACATGAGTGCCTCCGATGGCCTTCAGCCTATCACTGAGCTGTGTGAACTCTGGCCTTTGAAAAGGAAGAAACAATTAGGAAGTTCATTACACTCGTAAATTATTACTCACACACACACACACACACACACACACACACACACACACACACACACACACACACACACACACACACACACACACACACACACACACACACACACACACACACCTGTTACCTTTGGACAAAACACCTCATTATCTCAGTTATTAAGACTGATAACCTGAGCCAGTGATTAGGACTGTAACATTTCGCTCGTGAAGAGACATCATATACTCGAGTCACCTGTCTCTGACGACGTTGATGGTGTTGATTCCCCTCGCAGCAGCAATCTGTATCACAGCCTGCCCGACTCCACTGTTGGCTGCGTTCTGGATCACAGAATCACCTGCAAGAGCAACACATCCTCATATCTATTCCAGATTAGTACTTAACAGGTTTATAATGCTTTGAAGGTGCAGAATTCTTTCTTAATCAACTTCAAACTTCAAATCCCGGTCCATACATTTAAACATTACATTGCATGTCTTTTGTTAGACACTTTTATCCAATGCAACTTACATACAATCAGTACTGTGGGCAATCCCCACAGGAGCAATTTGGGCCGAAGTGTCTTGCCCAGGGACACAACAACATGCTGACTGCAGTGGGACTCGAACTTGCTACCCCCCTGATTCGAAGTCCAGCACACTACCCACTGAGCCACAGCCTCCCAAAGCAGTGGCTTTAAATTAACCAACTGCAAAGTAGGAACTACTCTGGTTTGAAACACACATGATAACAAATGAAAATTGAATATTTAAAAATGGGGGTAGTTACATTATGACTGAGAGTTGGTGTTATGAGTTGGAGAACAATTACTAACACACCACATCATAGGTGCAAGGCCCTAAAGAAAAAGCATTAATAGGGAAAAGGGTAGGCCTGAACACTTACTCCATCAACAAAAATGTATTACTTACAACATGTTGTTCCTATTTGGATCTTTGTCAAGTAAAAATATAGCCAATAAGAAAAACACTTGTTGAATAAAATGCTATTACACCCAAAATGCCCCTCTTTAAAGTAGAATATTTCTTTTGTAAAATATCTCTAGCTTCTACTTCTATATGTGTATAGAGGCTTGTGAATCTTTAAAGAAAATAATGTTTTCAATCTTGATTTGGAGATAAATACCTGGCTTGAGCTCTTCAAAGTCAGAGAGCATCCTGAAGGCGGTGCAGGGGTTCACTCCCAGAGTTGCAGCAGACAGCAAGGGAATATCGTTAGGCAGCGAGATGACATCGCCCTCTGCTAGCACCGCCTCTGTCCTCCACGTGCCTGCTCACACAAACACACAGAAATCCTAAGAGATCATGTTGAAGACACAATTGTGACACTGTGGATTTATTCATGTGATTAAATCAGTTGTTTTACCTAGACCAGCGTCTTTGGGAATAACCCAGTCTCCTGTTTTTAGGGAGGTTACGTTGCGGCCCACTTCTACCACCTGGGCCACGCCTTCGTTGCCCCCGACAGCTGGGAGGTCAGGGAGGATGGCATAAGTACCTGATGGGAATATACCCAATAAGTCATTTTCAACAAAAAAAACGTGTTTGGTTTTCTTGGTTATATTGTTACTGTTGGTTTTGTTTTGTTACCTTGAATCATGTTGATGTCAGCTGGGTTGATTGGAGCTGCCAATATTTTAACCAGAACATCCTTTTCACCTATAGGGGGCAGATCTACATCCTCTAACCTGGCAACCAAAAAAAACCTTGCATGTATTGAAGCTTGTATACATATAGTTATTTAAGGTTTGGAGGCAGCATTCAGATGTACAAAAATATCACGTTTTGTCACAGATACAACAAGTGAGTACAGGACATCTTTCCAATGTGGCCCCTGGTGTGTATCAATAGGTGTCTGGTTTAACATGTCTTACCAAATAAATATTGGCAACTTAAAAATGGAAAATTGTAATCCTAAATCATACAGATATTTAAAGAAAAAGCAGGCTTAGTATCCAAGATATTACATACCATACAAATCCTAGACAATTGATGAACACATTGATCAATAATGAAAAAGGTTGCTAGTTAAAGCCCTAAATAAAGTATTCAGTTCAGTTATAACGCTCACTATTAGTTTTAAGCAGAACAAGGCACAAAACTAAAATCCTCATCTTCAGAACTTAAAAAGTTTAAGTACATAATTTCCTTGGAAATGCAGTGTGAGAAAAAGTTTTTAGAGAGTACTTGTCCATGGACAAGTGAGTTTGGCAATTTACTTGTCCGAATAAATTTTTCACTTGTCCAGAATGGACACAAATTGGGGCCACTGGAATCTTCTTCTTCGCCATCGTATTTTACATTTTTGCCACGGTTTTTATGACACCGCTAATGTAAGTGAGCGGTAAGATTTTACTGCATCACACATAGGGTTGGGTATCGTTTGGATCTTAACGATTCCGGTTCTGCTTTTCGATTCCAGTTATTTTCGGTTCTCGATTCCGGTTCTTTGAGAGGGTAAAAATAAGTCCCATGACAAGCTGGGAGAAAAATATATTTATGAAAACATTAAGTCAAATCTGTATTCCTATTTACAAATCACTTCATACTGTTTAATTTCTTACTGTTATTGAATACAATTATATAAAAATTATCTCTGCATTGTTTAGTTAGTTCTAAGTGGTGCAGTTTGAGAATGTACAATTGGCCCAGTCTCCTCTGATGTTACACTGCAACCTGCCTGTGAGACAGAGTCCAACCAGGGGCGGACTGGGGGGTTAAAAGTGGCCCGGGGATTCATTGACAGACAGCCCCACTTAATGCGCGGCATGTATCGGCTGGCCGGCGACGAAAGTATGTAACTTAACAAAAAACCCTATGCATTTTATGTTATTTTGGACAATTATTCATATAGTAATCACATTACCTGAGCCCTTGAGTTGCCTAGAGCAAAAATAGTAACAGCATATAATGCTGTTACTATTTTTGCTCTAGGCAACTCAAGGGCTCAGGTAATGTGATTACTATATGAATAATTGTCCAAAATAACATAAAATGCATAGGGTTTNAGAGAGAAGTAATACGGTTTCCTGATAAAGCTGTGGAGAGTATGTGCTGCAGGGAGGTGGATGCACAACGCACCCAGGAACGAACGCTAGCTCCGGTCCTTTTTACTGTGGACTCGATGTCCTGACGGGCTGGTATTTGTGCAACCTGCACAAACACAATACTGCACCATGATTACAAATGGTGAAATACAATGTAAAACTACCGAAAAATACGAGCTCCTTAAAACACAACTGCTCAACTCAACGCAACTCTACTATACCCGCGGTCAGAGAGCGGAGATGTGTCCCCTGTGTGATGTAATATGACGCGTTTGACGTATGACCTTAAAAAAATCCGTTTTTAAGACCAGAGCTCAAAATTGCTCCTTTCCCTCTGAATTCCTGCCCTGATGTCTCGTAAAACATATCAAATCCTGCATTCACTTTTTTAATTGTAATTTTCAAGCAAGTTTAAGCATAAATGTAGAAAAAAAAAAAACCTGCAAGATGCTCTTTAAAAAATACCACACAGTTTGAGTCAGAAGTTTTTACAGCCCTGATGCTCCTAAATGCTTCTTGTACTCAGTCAATTGAACTGTCTTCCTCACCGTGCAGCACTCCTTAAGCTGCCTCAGCTCTGATTACACGTGTTGACAGACAGTTTCTAATACGTCATATTTTATTCATTAGACACTAGATTGTAAAATTCACTATTAGTGTGTTATGTGTCACTCTAGTTTCCAGCGCTAGTAGTGCTCCTGAAATAATCGTCCCACCTTCTTGCGTAGTTTCTGAATGCGGTTGATGACCTCACGTGCGACGCCTTCATCCATCATGGATTGGTCGGGGCTGACGTCCAGCAGCACCAGGACCTGAAAGAAAAAAGGAGGGTCTTAGCAAAACATTGAACTGATCCCAAAAGTCATCACAGTCTTAGAAAACTTACTTTTTTTTCATTTAACCTGTTATTACCATAGACTGTATATATGGTTATTACCCATTAACAGTTTTTATTTTTTTGAGGAGGGGAGTGGGTCTTAAATGTACCTGCCTAAATCAACATGTCATACGCTCATATTTGAAGGTCATATCCTGCATGTTCTCATTTAAATACAATGTTTAAATACCAAATGTATGGATTCCTGACGACTAGCAAAATATTTTAAATAAAAGGGTTCCAACAAATATGTGTGTGCATCCAGGAGGATAGATTTTTTATATGAGCACAATTGCCCACAATTCCGACGTTAAGTTCTAATATTTGGGCGAATTGAAATGTATAATACTGAGGTATACTTTTATCAAGATGTTTGAATGTTGTTTGATTTTTTAACCAGCTAAGCTTGAACATTAGTCCATTTTTAAGTTGGGAAAAATAGCCTTTTGACCTCAAAGCCAGAATGATAAAGTTAAGGTTTAACCTTTCAGCTACTGTAACAACAGACAGTGTGCTCTTACTGCACATATATTGCAATATGTATCTGACAGAACGCTAGCAGTTAGTGACAGAATGTTCCCTCATGAGTAACCAAACTCCCTCAGTAAAGGCTACAAACTATTTATTTGAAAAGAGGGTAAAATCCACAGAGCCATGAATCTGTCTTAGACTCTTTGTTCAAAGTTAAAAGTGATGAAGAAACAACCCGGCAGAAATAGCGACAATATTGTACTCTGTGTGAGTCACTAAAGTAAAATGAGTGTCACGTTGTGTAAGGCTGCTGCCAGCCTCAAACACTTCACCATGGGAGGAAGGGAGGGAGATGACAGGGCGACAGAGTAAAGTACACAAAAAGCAAAATGAATAGAAAGAGAAAGAACAGAGAGGCGGACAGATGGGAGCTGGGAGGTCGGTGCGAGCGAGCGAGAATTAAAACGCCAGCTCAGTAAACTGGTATTAAGGTGCAGCCGTGTGGTGTGTATACGGTTGGAGGAGCACTGATTAGAGAGAGAGAGCCTCTGGGAAACGCATACATGCTGGTTTCCACTTAGCCATGAAATGATTTCATACATCACACTCACAGTAAAGACATATAAATGCATTTACGGTATACGGCAGTGTGTGTGTGTGTGTGTGTGTGTGTGTGTGTGTGTGTGTGTGTGTGTGTGTGTGTGTGTGTGTGTGTATTTCTAAACCTTTTCATGGATGTTAACAAATAATATTTACACATTTTCCATAACCAGTTTCTGGATAATAAAAATACATGATTGGTCGACAAGATGTATTAAGTCCCGATACGATCCATAATCATGGATGCCCATTTTCATAATGCATTATTACCTGCTGATACCACTGTATAATCATTGTTATAAGCACACATAAGTACTCATGATGCATTAGGACAATAATAATACATTTTAACCATTTCATAATGAATTATAAGATCAAGTATCATAATACTTCATAATTGCCAGTCCCTCACTGACTAGGATTCATTACAGGTTGTTATAATGCACCATATGAGGTCATTGTTTCTTCAAGTTCATTGAAGTCAAATAATAGATCTAAAATCCATCCATCCATCTGAATACATCTAAAATGAGAAATCAAATGTATTTTGGAACATAGAGCGTACCTGTGCATCAGAGTGCGCTTCATACTGTGTTGCGGAGCCAGAGCTCTGGTCGAAGGTGTACATGAGCCTCAGATCGTCCTCATGAAGCTCATGGCCGTCCACCGTGATGGATCCTTCAAATTAAACAAAACAATTTTTAAATGTGCGAATCCAAAGTTATGGTACTGAAAATGCAATATCAAAAATACATAAATACAAAGTCAGTTGGATGTTTAATAACAATGATAACACTTATGTTTTTCAGATCACTTCCTGCATCAAGTCTATTCCTCAAAATACCTACTTGTTTTGATAAACTAATAGATATTGAAGTTCTTTTTTATGCAATAATAGCTAAAAAGACAAGTAACAATGATTGTTTTAGCCCTGGTACAATGTGGATAACATTCATTTATATACCTATGTGAATATCTTTGGGTTTTGGACTAATGAAGCAATACATTAAAAAACATCACTTATGACTTGGGATGGACATTTTTCTGAAATATAAACAAAAAGGATAATCTAGAAAATAATTGGTTGGTTAATTGATCATTAGAAAGATTGCCCACAGCCCTATTCACTGTAATACTTAATAATTAAATTGGAAAAAATTAGTATAGCAATTCAACTAGACAAGTAAAACCCTTTTCAGACGTTTTCCTGTGAAAATCTATAATATCACCAGACCAGTCTTATACCAGAAAATCAACCATTCAAGAGGATGAAAAGGCATCCAAAATAGTTTATATTGATTGCCATTATAATTGAATAAATGCTGACAACAGACATTAATGCAAATGTAATGATAAACTACTTAGTGTCCCACTGTTCTCCTATTTATATTTGAATAAATTGCCAACTGATTGTGTGAAATTAGTCTTTATTTTGGAGTTTGTCCCTTTAGAAGAATTCTAGAAATGGTTTCAATTACAGCCAATCAACCTGAATTAAGTGCTCTCCTAACTACATGCAGGCCGAGGCTTTATTTTGAATGAGCTATGGATTGGATCAGTATTTGCTCGCATTTTGTGATTCCTTACATTTCAGTCATCCGGCCAGATCCACTCATGATCTGAGCTTTTAAACATTACAGCAAACCCATTGCAGTCAGGTTTAAAATCATTTTGCCAGTGGCTGCAATTACTC